TAAACTTTGAGCAGTAGCAACCAATTCATTCTATTATAAGAAAAAAAATAACTAAAATAAGAATATTATTGAATTAATAGATATTTAAATTATCAAAATCTTACCCGAAATACTAGGTTTGTAATATTGACATTTATTAATTCTTCAATATTTGCAAATACTTGATATTCACATTCATTGCATTCTGAACAAAGCTCACCTAGATTTTCTTTGTACATAAGCGCTTTCTATCTAATCTTATCATAAAAGATGTTCTTTGTATTCTATTTGGATATTGTTCATGAAATTTATTCCATAATACTTTTTTATGATCTTATAAGTATAATACAGGCAATCCACTAATATTATCAGTTTTATAAGAACTCATATTAATGTGTTCTTTTGTAGAAAAAAATAATTAAAATTGCTGCAACTGTTCAGTAGTAAATTTTATTTGGCAAAAACTTGGTTTATTCAATGGAGGTGCACCATAACCACTTATCCGCGCATATTTACGTGATTCTAAAATGGTATGTTGTCCAACCTTTATCAAAGAATTATTGAATTATTTTAGTAAATTATTTTGATAATTACTAACATATTACAAATTACTTACACCTAAATTTTCTTGTAATTCTTTATAAGTAAAGTTATTTGCAATAATTGATAATACACAACGTTTTCCATCTTGATTTTTTTTGTTATTCTCTAATGCACAATTAAAGCATTGCCAAAAAATTGAAGTTGAATTTTTAATAGGTGTTGAAATATTCTTGAAAAGAAATTTCATTTGATATAATTGGGTAAGTAATGCATGATCTTATTTCGGATGATTAGATTTTGACCAAAATTGATACTAAAAATAAAATTTATTATTATAATAATTAATTTATGATTTTTTTATTAGAAATCTTTCAATAATACCTGTTCTCCACATAGCTAAAAAGTTACATTATTAGCACTAGCAGCATGAAGAAAGGTCTGCCATGCACTTTTTTCGCGTATACTAAATTGATGATTTTCAGGATATATATTATGTAATTCATTGTTTAGTTCAATTAGAGGACTTTCTTGTTCATCCCATTTTATAAATAACTGATGCCAATTAATATTCACAATTGTTCTTCGTTTTAGATGAAAATCAAAAAGTGATTTTATAATAGAATCATCTTTCCACTCTTGAGGTGAACATGTTGGTTTTTTTTGTTTTTTATTTAAAGATTTTATTATGTGATTATCAATACCAAAAAGTTGATTCCTATTGAATTTTTTTATAAATTCTAAATTTTTCCACATATCAATTGAATTATTACTTACATATGTAGTTTGAAGTTTTTGATCTTAATAAATTTCAACAGTACATAAAGTTTCTTCGATTTTAGAAACAAACAATATCTGTTTATTTCTAAATTTATAAAGAAGTGAAGATTTATATCCCAGTTCAGTACAATGCTAATCCATATTCGTTAAATATCCCATCTCATATACAAATACTTTTATTTTTTCAAGTAAAAAGGAATGAGAAGTAAAAGGAACATCTTTATTCAATTCATTTACTATATTTTTGTCATTCCATCCCATTATTAATGAGCCAAAATAGCGAGTTTTCGTTGCAAAGATTTTTGAATAAACTTCAAAAATAGCATTAATTGGATCATTTGCAATTCCTACAATTTCATTATATTGATACATATAACCTGATAAAAAGATATTATTGTCTTTATTGCCAATAACTAC